CAGGTCAGACACACACACACACACACACACACACACACACACACACACACAGTTTATTTGTGCACAGTTTCTGCATTTTTGAGTAGTTAAAGTGTTGTAAATACTCGCGCTCGCCTCCCTCACCATAGTAAGCTACCGCGACATAGCACATGTGAGATAAATGACGTCAGTACATGATAAGCAGTTAGGATTATAACTGAACCGATACCCGATTGTCCACGTCTGCATCGCCATGCACCAAAGACACTATACATTTAGACACCCCCACTGATTGATTTAATGCAGGTTCTGCTCAAAACACAGCCAGAACTCATGAAGAGAATCAGCACAGCGCTGTTAGAGCATGCGCCTGCTTCACAGACTGCTTAACCAATCCTTAAAATAGCTGAAGTGGATTCAGACACCTCCTTAATGCTCTCGGCTTCAGATTTTGCTCTTAGATCATTCACTTAGAGCCCAATATTTTGTGCTTGTCCAGAAAAAGCTTCTTGATTTCAGAATTTGGAGATATTCGAACTAGAAACGAGACCAATCTCTAAGAGAAGCATTGTCTTTCAGTGTGTACATGTGTGTGTTTGTGTTGTGTGTGTGCAGGACTCATACGGCGACACACCTTTACACGACGCCATCGCTAAAGACTTCAGGAGCATCATTGAGATCCTGACGGTGGTTCCAAACATCGATTTCACTCAGCAGAACAACCGCGGCTTCAACCTGCTGCACCACGCCGCTCTGAAGGGCAACAAACTGTGAGTGTGTGTGAGTGTATGTGAGTGTGTGTGTGTATGCTTGTGTGTTTGTGTATATATATATATATATATGTGATTGTGTGTGTGTGTGTGTGTGTGTGAATGCATAAATGTGTGTATGCTTGTGTGTGTGTGTGTGTGTATATATATATGTGAGTGTGCGTGTGAATGCATAAATGTGTGTATGGTTGTGTGTTTGTGTGTGTGTATATATATATATGTGAGTGTGTGTATGCTTGTGTGTTTGTGTGTATATGTATGTGTGTTTGTGTGTGTGTATATATATGAGTGTGTGTGTGTGTATGCTTGTGTGTGTGTGTGTGTGTGTGTGTGTGTGTGTGTGTATATATATATATATATATATATATATATGTGAGTGTGTGTGTGTGTGTGAATGCATAAATGTGTGTATGCTTGTGTGTTTGTGTGTATATATATGTATGTTTGTGTGTGTGTATATATATGAGTGTGTGTGTGTGTATGCTTGTGTGTGTGTGTGTGTGTGTGTGTGTGTGAAGCGTCCTCTCTGTAATGGCATTAGTGTTTCTGGGTAAAGTCAGATGAGAATAGCGTGCGGTCTGGCTGACGAGACAGGATCTGGATTAACCTCAGTCTTTAATTAGAAAACAACACTGCACGTCTAGATCAACAGCACATCAGCCTGTCACCATATCACTTTATTCAGAAATATTGTGTTAAATTACACTTCTACACATGAATATGATTCACATCTGTGGATTGACACAGCCAATGGTGACAGACTTGTCAGTTTCGGTTGGACTTCAGTCATGTGCATCTTTAGTAAAGCAGTGTGCTGACCGCTTTGCTCTCCACTCTCTTTGTGTGTGTGTGTGTGTGTGTGTGTGTGTGTGTGTGTGTGTGTGTGTGTGTGTGTGCGCGTCTACAGAGCGACAGAGATGATTCTTTCTCGAGCTCGACAGCTGGCGGATGTGAAGAAGGAGGACGGTTTCTCTGCGCTTCATCTGGCTGCGCTCAACAACCATCGCGACGTAGCCGAGATTCTCCTCAAAGAGGTGTGTGGAAATCAGTCATGAGTCCAACTGAAATTCACCACATATTTAGAAATAGTATTGAAAAAACTAAATGAAAACTAGCAAACAGTATATATTAGTGGAAA